ATTTAGTGACAGGCGGTGTGAGAAAACTGCATAATGAGGAGCTTCTTCTCCATGTATAATTAAAATCAAAAAAGTGAAGGAAGATGAGGTGCCCAGGGCATGTAGCATGAATGGGGGAGAAGAGGATTGCATATAGGATATTGGTGGGATAACCAGAAGGAAAGAGACCACTAGGAAGACCAAGACAGATGGGTGGACAGTATTAAAATGGTTCTTAGAGAGGCAGGATTATATGGAATGGATTTATCTGGCTGATGACAGGAACCAGTGGAGGGCTCCTGTGAACACGGTAATGAACCTTCGGGTTACATAAAATGCTGGGAATTTCTTGAGTAGCAGCAGAATTGGCGGCTCCTCCAGAAGGGCTCCGCTCCATGCAAGTAAATAACGTTTAAGTATATATGAGGGCAGTAGGGAAAACTTATAGCGCGCAACATGAATGATTACTAGGAAATTAAAGTAGGTTTCGCTTATACGTATTGTGCGAAATCAAAGTAAGCGTAAGACTGACAAGCTCACCGCCATCTGTGGGCCGACTTGTTAGAGAAAATGTGAGAGCCTCAATGTATCACAACCTTATGGGCCCGCACGGCCTGTTAAGGGTTAGCTTTACCTTAACCCGATCTAAGTAAGGCCAACGCGACCTACAGTAGAACAAAGCTGAGAATTCAATAAATGTAGCAGGTAACTTCATGCATAAATATATTTAAAACTTCAGAACATTTATAGTTTGATGAGCACTTATGCGAGATATAGGTAAGTACAATGAATATTTCTAAACCTACAAATTGAAATTTTGCTCTAACTTGAATCCTTACTACATCATATCAAAGGTAAAATCATAATAATAATTAACCTTTTGTACAAATCATTTATAACGTCATTTTGAATAATAGCATTTTTGAAAGATCGTTGTTTTGGCTGGTTATTACAACAAATACAGTTATTTCTTTACATTGGCTCTCCATATCATCACCTGCAATGCAAGTTTACCATCAGATATGAACCTTTTTACAAGTTTATCGTTCAGTTTAAGAAATTTGCCATATTCTAGCAAATAATTCAAGTTTCCAGAAATATTGCGAACGGTATGGGTGAATACTATTCTTTCAGACCCACTTACTGTATTGAGAATGAAGCTGGCTGTATATAGCGCCTGTGAGATTCCTACTTTCTCAACTGCACAATACAATTTGCCATCTTTGAATCTTTTGTGGCAAATAAAGACTTCATCGCAATAGTGAATCATATTCACAGCGTCCTCAAGGGATGAAGACATGAAGCTTTCACCTTCAGCAAAATATTTCTGATGTGATTCACTGCAGTGGAATATCAGGTCCTTCAGTGGTCCTTCCCAATGACAAACGATATCCATTACTTTGTTTAATGGACATGTTGCCTTCCTGTATGCGCATGAGGCCAAATGGTCGGCCATTAACTCTATTGGGCGCATGACTGGACATCCCAGGGCGACGTTTGCGCAGGTGAAGTTGGACCACTGCGATATAATCTCGAGACGGATGTTTCTTATCCCGCTGAACTGACTTCCGCAGGTAGGGCATTTGTCCATAGTGTCTTTGCAGTTAGAACAGATGTTATGTCCCTTTTCGCAGAACGTGATAGGCTGTACCATACGGTTACTGCAGAGAGGACACAGGAGGAACTGCAATAGCTGCTCAGTCGCGGGAACAGTTACCAAGATGTCCACGTTCTGTGCCATACCTGCAAAATCAGTGACACGGCTCTGAAACGTGGTGTTTCTTTTTAAGTGGGGGAGGAGAGAACATGGATTGAGGGGGTTTAACAAGGTGGGAGCCGAGATAGCTTGACTTGGGTAAATGTTGGGGTTTGTACTGAAACATATGCAGCTCCTCCTCTTCCCATGTTAACACCAAACTTTCTCCGTAATATAACGTACAAAAAGGTAAAACTATTTCTGTAACACGCTGTGGAGGCCCATAGGGTTGCGAGATGTCGAGGCTCCCACATTTTTCTAGACATTCGGCTCACAGATGGTGGTGAGGCTGTCAGCTTTAAGCTCTGGCCTTATTTTAGTCCCCAAAAGATTCCTGGTACTTATTTCTGTTAGATGCTGAGTCGACCTCAGGCCATAATGCGGCTGGAATGTTACGGAAATTTAAAAATCCAAAGACCCCATCGGTAATTGAACCCACANTTCTGTCCTCTGATCACAAGAAAGTTCATTTTGTAAGCCTTTTGCTTTTTCCTCAAACGTACCTCTAGCCGGAATAGCTTGGTCGGTACTGCGACTAGGTTAGGATCTATTCCCGGTAGGAACAACAGTTTTCCCTCTTCTCCGAAATATCTGTATCGGGTTTTCTTTTGGGGGGGGGCGCTCCCAACCGCCTACGTAAGTGGTCCCCGGCAATAAAGCAGCCGGAGTGTGAAGCTGAGGACTGATCTCCATCTAGTGTCGAGGTTTAGAATGGCAGATTTATATCTCCAGTCCCCCCATACGTCTTCAGGACGTGATGTTCAATTCATTATGCCCAGGGATAACTTGGAGTTCGTTTTTTAGGGAAAGTGTCTATGTGTGTTGAGAGAACCATACGAAACACACAAATACACTGTGTAGTCAGAATGCAGGGTTTTGTGTTTTAAAGCAGGCGGTACATGTAGTGGCCACAGGGATGTGAAGGGTTAACCATACAAATGAACTAATTAACTACTAATTATTACGATTTATATATCGTAGCGGATGGATTGTGCTTGAGAAGGCAGCCAGGAGCCTGATATATATATAGTTGGTAGAGGCACTATGCCACAAGCCGAAAGGTCGCGGGTTCAGTTTCCGATGAGGTCATTGGATTTCTTTTAATTGACCTAATTCTTCCAGCCGCACTATGGCCCTGGGGTTGACTCAACCTCTAAGAAGAATGAGTACCAGGAATATTCTTGAGGGTAAAGGGCGGCCGGCGCGTAAGGCTGACACCCTTACCGCCATCTTTGAGCCGATTATCTAGATAATGTGGGAACCTCAACGTCTCACAACCCTATGAGCCTCCACGGCCTGTTACAGGGATAGCTTTATTTTTATATGATGACAGGTTCTCTGGTAGCGGAACCCCGTTTCAACGCGAATACAGAGTGTCATGATGAAAGGTGTCCAAAACAACAAGAATGTGTATCTCGGAAACTAATTGTCATACACGTATCCGGTTTATGTCAACGGAAAGGAAAACTCTGGACGTCTATTTTCATGCCCGACTTAGGCGCATGCGCCAACTGATGATCTTCGACGAACTCACTAACGATGTCGACAACACAGGAACAGGTTAAATGCATATTGTGGCTAGCAGAGTTGCGATCTCTTACGCTGTCTAGCGTCGTTTTACAGCGAAATATGGGCGTCAGCCTCCTACATGGAAAAGCATTCGGTTCTGGGACAACAAACTGCGGACTACAGATAAGTCTGTTGCGTGTAAAATCTCCTGGAAAGACACGGACCTCTGAAGAAAATGTCAGTCGCATTAGAGAGGCATTCCAACGAAGTCCGCGCAAGTCAATTCGTGCTGCTAGCTTACAGTTACGTACAAATTCCATGTTCAACAGTGCACGATGTGCTTCACAAAAGACTCTGCCTAAGAGCGTACAAGATTCAAATGTTTCATGCACTAAAACCGAGTGACCAACTAGCACGCATAAACTTCGCTGTGGACATGCCAGAAAGAACTGACGCGTCACCCGATTTCCTCCGCCAAGTGTGCTTTTCGGACGAGGCGACATTCCATGTCAGTGGAGATGTAAACAGGTACAACTACAGGATTTGTGAATGTCAGAATCCACATGTCACATGTGAGTTGGAGAGAGGTAGTCCCAAAGTGAACAAGTTGACTGGACAGTTTTTCTCTTCGGAAAAGACTGTGACCAGACGTTCGTACTTGGACATGCTGGAGCTGTATGCTCTGCCCCAATTACCACCTCAGGCCATTCTCCAACAAGATGGGTGTCGCCATATTTCTTCCACCATGTTAGGAATCACCTGGACAGAGAGATGGCTGGGAGATGCATCGGCAGAGGTGGATCAATTACTTGGGCTCCTAGGTCGCCAGATTTAAACCCACTGGATTTCTTGTGAGGTTATGTGAAGAACACTGTCTACCAGGTTAAGATCAACGACCTTCAACACCTGAAAGCCCGCATAAGGGACCCTGTACCTATGATAACGCCAAACATGCTTCAAGCAACGTGGAACGAGGTCGAATATCGTCTGGATATTTGTCGTGCCACCAAGGGAGCCCACAATGAAAATTGTTGAGAAAGTTATATACTCAGAAAGAACGTGGATAGTTTCCCTTTGTAATGGTATAACCCATAAATGCTTTCTGACATTTTGTTTTTGATACTTTTCAACTGGACACTCTGTATTGGGGTACGAATTTGAGTTGGTTCCATCCATTTCCCATCTTATTTTCGGCCGTTAAAATACGTGCTTTCGAACGTATTTAATGTCGGAATTGTTTATGTATTTATTGCTTCTCATTCCAGTTTATACCAGCCGCCTCTATTTTACCAACCTAACAATATGGCTCAAACACCGCCTTCCTCCTTATGAATTGTCCTACATTGATACCTAATTCATCCTTCATACTTAGACTTATATGTAGGCCGCGCCATTGCTCAAGCGGTTAGTCGCTGGTATCCCAGCGCGGCGGCCCGGCTTCGATTCCGGGTCTGATCAAGTGGGATTTGTGGTGGACAAAGTGGCGCTGAGGCGGGTTTTCTCCGAGTACATCGGTTTCCCCTGCCAATCTTCATTCCACTAAAATCTCCATCATCATAATCACCCGGGGCAGGCTACAGTAGGCCAATCAGTGGACGCTGTGCTGAGTGGACCGAATTGGACTCCACCCCCCACTAAGCGAATTAAAAAAATTAGACTTATATGGTTTTAAATTTTGGACGTTTAACACTAATATATAATGCTCATGAACAATTTCTTATACGTTTCACATAAGTAGTCTCTTTCTTGGAAACCTTATTTCACTGGAGAACTTACTTACTTGCTTACTTACTTACTTCAACCCTCAAGAGTTCAACACGGTTTACAACTGCAGCGTAGCTTAAACCTGTTTCCTTACCTACTGCTTGTTCCTCTGCCGGGGAGTGACTAGCTGTTTGTGCCGAATGCGTACGCATCCTTATCGGTGGCTGCCGGGAGTGACGTCATGTTTGCTTTAAGATTCCAAGGATAACGTTTTGTTTTTCGTCAGAATATGCCAATGCCCAAAATATACAGTCATGTAAAAAGATAAAGTAGTCCTTGTGCTTAACTAATTAAGTACTTCGCCGTGAAGGTGTATGCAGGAGTGGATGTAGAGAGCCATATATTCTTGACCTCGGCACTATTTAGAAGCGAATGGTCAGCTTCACGCCCTGCCGCTTTACCCCCGGGGAAAGAGGCCCCAGTTACCCATTGGATAGGAAGCTGGGTGGACCCCAGAGCCAGTCTGGACGACACGGAGAACAGAAAATTCTTGACCATACCGGGACTCGAACTCTGACTCCTCTGTCGTCCAGCCCATATCCTGTCGCTGTACCGACTACGCTATCCCGGCTCGGTACATACCCATGTTTATTACATTTAACGTATTAGAAGGGAAACTGTCACCCACTGGCTTGCATTGATCTGTTGATAGGCTACTTACCGTATTTTGAAAAAAGAAAATGCTTATGAGATTGCCTTGCTGTCTGTGTAACCCGGGCATACTTTGGAAGGGGGAGGAATATGGGAGAGTAAGGGGAACACATTTGCATACTGAAAACTGATCACACCTCTTATTTAAAATTGTGAGTACGAAAGCTGGCGGGCCGGCGAAGCGGTAACACTGGGGGGGGGTCTTGTGTTTGAATCTCGGCTGAGACACTGACAATCCTGACTGAGGAATTTTCGTGTCGTGCAGGTAAGTGTTGGGATAGTAATAGGTCAGGCCATGACCGCCGCTTCCATTCGGATCCTTTACAGTTCATCATTCAACAGTCGTCCTACCAATCGACGTCTAAATACTGAGTCATCAGCGTCATCAGTAAGTAATTTGCTTGTGTACTCACCGACGTCAGTATAAATAAAACACTGCCATGGTAACAGGGTGTTTCAGATTAAATGTTTTCGTCGCTGGAACATGTTTGTTCATAAGACTACAAATGACTAACCCTCTTTAACAGGCGTGGAAGACCATAGGGTTGTGAGAAGTCGAAGCTCCCACGTTTTCTAGATAGTCGACTCAAAGATGGCGTTCTCTTAAGAAGGTCTCAGCTCCATGAAGTTATTTAGTTGGGAGCGGGGATAACTCAGTCGGTATATCAACTGGCTATTGGGTGCACGGTTCGAGTGCTGGTAGGTGCAATGTTTTTCTCCCGTCCACGTTGCCGAGACCAGCGCTAGGGCCCACACAGCGTCCTGTCCAAAGGGCACCGCTAGCTTGTTCCCCGTGGGTAAAGGGGTTTGGGCTTGAGACGAGTCCAAGTCAAGAAGCCCCTCATTATATAGTTTTCCCCAGCGTCCCGTCACTTCATCCTTTCTAGGTCCATATATTCTCAACACCCTCGGTCTCTCTTCCTCCCTTAATATCTGAGACCAAGTTCCACACTCATACAGAACCACAGGCAAAATTATAGTTTTGTATATCTTAAATTTTATGTTTTTTAATCAGCAGATGAGAAGATAAAAGGTTCTGGACTGAATGGTAGCAAGCATTACCCGAGTTCAGTTTCCTCTTAATTTCCTCCTGAATCTGGTTTAGATTTGTTATCGTTGTTCCAGAATATCTGAACTGTGCCACATTTTCAAAGGGTCTGTTCTCTAAGTTTACGTAATTATTTTGCCCTGCATTTTGGTGACGAGACGGCAACATATACTTAGTTTTGTCTGTGTTTCCTTCTAGACCACCACCTTACTACAGTTAATTAAAGTTTTATGTTTTTATTATATCTGTGTTATCCCAACTTCCTAGTAGGTTTGTGTCCTAAAAGGTCATGGTAGGGTTTCAAAATATTACGTTTTAAACGGAATATGGTGCATATAGTAAAGATGAAGGAAATCAAAGAACAACTCGAATAGTTCGACAGTAGAGAAGCAGCTGCCGTCTGTCAGTCCTCATGTTCTTGGTCGAGTGAGGTAGGAAATGGAATACCGCTTAGATGTTAGCAAAGTCACCAGTGCAGCCCACGTAGAACTTCGGTAAACACGTGGAGAAAACTGTTTAAGTTCTTTAATTTAGTTCTCGTTTAATATTATTTACCGTATTCCGTTTAATACATATAATATTCTGAAATCCCACCATTAGTGTTGGGACACACTGTGGAAACAGAATGTGAATAGAAATAGTAAGGCGAACATAAACACTCAACATTTATTGGAGAATTTGAGTCAGAGAATTCCACAAGAATAAGTTTCTATTTGGGCCCCCTGGTACATATAATCATACCACATATCATATCAATTACTTTATTCGAAATGCAGGAATAACATTAGATATTAGTCTTTCAGTATTTGATTCATGAAAATAAAGGTTCATGACCCAACAGGCCGAAATTAAAATTTACATATTCCGTTCTTGATAAAATGATTTGATATATTTCTTCATTATGCTGAATGTCAAATGATTTAATACAATTTTTTTCTATGTTTTATGGGTAAGATCACAGATGCCTAAACTAAATCAACTGTTACATTTTATTTTTAAAACCGATTACCATTATTCAACTAAAATACCTTTAGTAAGTTCTTTAAAAACCCAGCATATATAGAAACATTACTATTAAGATGTTTGCAAATGTAACAGTAGTTGATAGGCCACAGTCAAGTCACAAACGTGTCAATCAAAGGACACTAAAACTAGCGAAAGAACTTGTCTCCATTTCTGTCGCCGGTGTTATGTATGAATTAACATAAAATCGTCTCTGTTCTCGAGTTCAGGAATATATACGTTTGTCAAACTAATCAAATTCTTGTTCTCTTTAATTTAAAAGTGATTGTAATTTTGAAATTAAAACACACATTACAGTGCTGCTAGAGACCTCTTACAAAGAAATTGCACATCGCACGAACGCACGCAGTTGCTCTGTCCGTGCTGAAGCCAGTGTTTGTTCAAACGAATGCCATCGCTGGGAAAGACGTCTTGCAATGTACTGGGTACGCGTATGTCCCCAGGGATATGTGCGTCACCTCTCACAAATTCTTGTGCCAGGTTTGACGTCAGTAGCAAACAAATTGGTTGATCCATAACTTGATAAATCAATTTCTTTATTTGTGTAGGGCACAGGAATTGCCTCGACGTTTTGAAATCGGGCTGTAAAATGTTAAAATTACAATTCGTTTAATCAATTACTATGATGAAATATGGGATCTAGGTTTTATGATGTCTCTCCTCTGTTATATGAGGGCGTAGTAATCAGTTATTATAATTACTTTTTTTAAAATGCTTATAGCGTTTTCTAGAGAAAATAATTATGGCGACAGGGAACAAAAACATTCTTTAATTCTGTCCAAGGAACTTGTATAGGAAAGACGCTCAAGGAGCTACCGCTCTGTAATTATTTAGGGAGTTTTTGTGGGAGTTCGACTGTGCAAGTGTGTTCGGCGCAGAGAAGTGCATGCGCATCCTAACCCCTTTCCTCCTTACGTGGAGTACTAAAACCGCTCTTGACGTATAAATGCAGGGCAATTGGTCATAGTCCTCATTTTCATTGGTTACGCTGTGTACTGGGAGGAACTTCTGTTATTTTCACTTTCATGAATAATATGTTACTTTGTATGAAAGGTGCCAGAAACTCAATGTGAACCGCCAGGCATCTTCGAGCTTTGAAAATTTCTTCAAAACTTTCAGTAATCTTATTCGTATGAAAGTTAAGTGTAACTTTGGCGGTCGTTTCACCCGGTATATAAAAGTAGGTTGTGTACTGGTATCTCCTACCTGTAATACCAACTTGCTGTACCGCTGCGTACAGGATGCGAGTGTCTGAAACATACTTGTGATATAGAAATATTTCATCATTGAAGAAAACTATGACTTGAGCGTTCGTAGGATTAAAGGAGGCGAAGTAAGGGCGACACGCAACAAAATTTTTATGCGCGTTTGCCATGTGTTGCTCTAAGTTTTCCAGATTACCTAACCAAGGGCATTTGATTTCTTCAATTTGGAATAAGGGGCATCTCATTTTCCCAGTACGTATTCCCGTTCCTTGATCGTCTTTCTCAAGAGGAGAGCTGGCAACGTCATCTTTGGTTTCTCCAGCCGCGACAACAAACATCCTCTCCTGTGTGCGAACACTTCGTATTTTTACTTTCATATTTAATTCGTTATTTACTATGAACTGTTCCAAAAACTCAACGGCCACAGCCACACATTCACGCGCATCGAAAAGGGCTTCAAACGGCTCACAGATCGGATTTACATTCAAGTTAAAAGTAATGTCTTCCACTGTTTCGTCTTGTGAGTGAAGTTCGATTATGTACGTATATTTCTCGTTCTTCATACCAACTTGCTGTATAATTGCGTACATAATAGTCGAGGAAATGTATTTGTAATATAGAAATATTTCATCATTAAAAGAAATTAATAACGCTTTGTTTACAATAAGCCTGCAATCGAAATCAGGACCTCGTATGACAATTTTACGATGCTCGGCTTCTAAATGCAACACTAAAATATTGGGCGCACCTGACCAGGAGCATTTAATGTGTGGAATTTTAAACAAAGGGCATTTAACTGTTTCCTCACCAAGCTCACGTTTGTACCTCTGAGGAGTAGTCCTGGAAGTGTATCTTTTCTTGTCATGTGTCTCAGTCACATCTGTCCTTTTATGTTTATGAACAGGTCTTATGTTCACCGACATAGCTAACTCGCCATTCTCTATAAAAGGTTTCAAATGATGCTTATCAATCACCGTGCACTCGTAATCACCCAAAACGTCTTCAAGATGCTCACGCATCTTTGTCATACGAAAGCTAAATGTAATATTATCGCTTTCCCTTTCGTGCGAGAAAAGCTGGATTGTGTATGTGTAATTCCAGTTTGTAATACCGACCTGCTGTACAACTGCATACATGGTACCAGTGTCTGTAAATTGTTTGTAATACAGAAATATATCATCGTAGCAGCATATTATTAAAACGCTGTTTGTCAGAGACGTACAGCAGATCCAAGGACTTGTCTTCTGAATATCGGCGTGGATTCCTGTAACATGTTCCTTCAAGTGTCTGAGGCTGCCTAACCAGAAGCATTTAATTTCTGGAATTCTAAACAATGGGCACTCGATCGTGTAATCCATGTCCACCTCTTCCTCCTCGCCTTCTTCTGAATCTTCTGTGACTTCCGGATAGGACGTCCCAACGTCGCCTCCCTACGGATGCAAAGTAAGAATTGGAAATCAGTTTGTAAATAATTGGCAAGACAGGCTTCAGGACCGGTGTTTTGGGTCCATGGACTTCATTGATAACAGTACCCATGTTCTTAAAGTGAATAGCTTGTGGTAAAGGTAAAGCTATCCCTGAACCAGGCCATGGAGGCCCATACGGTTGTGAGACGTTGAGGTTCCCACATTATCAAGACAGTTGGCTCAAAGATGGTGGTAAGTTTGTCAGCCTTACACGCCCGCCGCTATTTACCCACCAGGAATCTTCCTGATACTCATTTCTATTAGAGGCTGAGTCGAACCCATTGCTATGATGCGGCTTGAAGGATTAGGAAAGTTGAAAAGTGTACCTCATCGGGATTCGAACCCTCGACCTTCCAGCTTGTAGCATAGTGCCTCAACCAACTACGCTACCGCGTTCCCCCTTGTAGTACATCCATAAATTCAACACAGATGACGTCAAATTCCGACTTTGCTTACGGTCCTGAACCTTATCATGCCAATTCACATCCTCACAAGTTGTTTGGACTGAAGTGAATTAATCATTAATTTACATTTTACTTGGGAGCCGGGATAGTGTAGTCGGTATAGCGACTGACTACGAGATTGACGACCGAAAGGTCGGTGTTCGAGTCCCGGACGGATCAAGAATTTTCTCTTCTCCACTTCGTCCACACCGTCTCTCGCGCCCAATTCTCCTCCTATGCAGTGGGTACGGGTTTTTTCCCCCGGGAGTAAAGTGATCGGAGCTTGAAGCTGACCACTCACCTCAATCTAGTTCCGAAGTTAAGAAAATGTGTTTCTATATATCCACGCCCCATACGCCTTTATGGCGAAGTGTTTAATTAGTTAAGCACAGGGGGCAACTTTACCTTGCATATTACTTTCCTGCGGTCTGAATATCATTTTGAAAATAGTAATATGCGCTTGTTGGACGCCGGCGGCGCGCGATAGCGTAGTTGATTGAGGCAATATGCTACAAGCCGGAAGGTCGCGGGTTCGTTTCCCGATGAGGCCATTGGATTTTCCAGCCGCGCTATGGCCCTGGGGTCCACTAAGCCTCTAGCAGAAATGAGTACCAGCAATCTTCCTGGGGGATAAAGGAAGGCCGGCGCGTAAGACTGACAACTTCACAGCCATCTGTGAGCCGATTGTCTAGAAAATGTGGGAGCCTCGACGTCTCACAACCCTGTGGGCCTTCACAGCCTGTTACAGGGATAGCTATACCTTTTTTTTATTTATATTTTGGATGTCGCTGTCTTATCGAAAGTATGAATTCCTATATCCTCATTTACAGTGCAATTTATGACTTGATATTTTGAAGTAAGATCTTTGGTACAGACACAACATGAATCATTTATTATACGAATATCATGAGGAGTAAATACAAAACAGTTTCAATCGAGAAATTTTTTAAAGACCTCTTTATCGCTTATTTCGCATAAGCAAGACTCTTTAATTAATGAAAATTGTAAAAAAAAAATGTATTTAGTCGATATTTAAATGGCTTTTGCCCCTATTTTTATTTGAGTGTTGTGATGTACCATGAACTGATAAATATCTCTAATCCCTGTACTCTTGGAAGGGTTGGTGAAGTACGTAACATGATGGATGCACTCCCATAGTAAAAGCAAAGTTGTTCCTGTGCTTGACTAATTAAGCACTACGCCATGAAGGCCTATGTGGAAGTGGATGTATAGACCCATATTTTCTTGAACTCGGCACTAGATGGAGGTGAGTGGTCAGCTTCAAAGGCCGGCCGCATTAACTCCGGGAAAAGAACCCCCGATACCCATTAGAAAGCAGGCTATGTGGGCCCCAGAGCCAGTTTGGACGACGTGCAGAAGAGAACATTCTTGACCCCACCGGGACTCGAACTACGACCCCTCCGTCGTCAGCCCGTAGTCAGCCACTATACCGACTGAGCTATCGGGGCTCCTGCAACACCGCAGTAGGTAACTAGTAAACACAAAGTAACTAACTCCATGAAGCTGAGACCTTCTTGAGAAGCCGCCTGTTTCTCACCTCATGAAGAAATTCAGAAAACTTTATGGAACCAGAAGGTTCATTACCTTGTTCACAAGAACCCACCACTGGTCCCTGTCCTGAGCCAGATCAATCCAGTCCATACCACCCCGTCCTATCTCTAAGAATTATAAATTATTATCCCACCTTTGTTTAGGTCTTCCTAGTTGTCTCTCTAGTTCTGGGGTTCTCAAAATAATCCTATATGCTTCAGTGTAATATTCTGTATTTTCATGCTAATTATCTCCGTATCGCCGAGAAATGTGAACGGGGTCCACTCCCCCTTGTGAGGATAATTGACGAGCTCTTTCAATGAAATAGAGGCTCTAGTCTAGAAAAACCGAGATTAACGGACTTGGGGATCCGTTGCGCTGATCAGGTTACACCCTCTGTCCGCTAAAGTTGGCACTAACTTCGCTGACAAGCGACGGTCGCTCGGTCAGTATAGTTCGCTTGCGGACTACAGGTCATGGAGTTTGTTTATTTTGTTTGTGTCGCCGAAATATATTGGCTCCATTTAGTTTTTGCAGTACTCGAAATATAAACTATGTTTTACAAAAGGAACACATTTATTTCATGTGTTTTCTTTATCGACGTTTGCGTTCTCTCTCGTTATACGCCGTCTAACGATAAGATGATTTAACGGATAGCTGACTGGCAGCGTTGTAGAGGGAAGCAGTCTTCCTTGTCCCGGTTCTTGCCTTCAGAGACTGAGGAAAACAACGACCTATGTCATGACGCCTGGTGTTGCGGCCGAAATGCGTAATGAGTTACCGCTTCTGTGATTTGCTTTGTGAAATGAACCATTAAATTTAAATCATTCATTATCATGTTTTAATCGAACAATAATGTTCATGTCCTTCTTCTTGACGCCTCTGAAACCCCTAATTTTTATCAGTTATTAATGTACTCAATCAAGTCAAGGAGGATGAAGTGGGCAGGGCATGTAGCACGAATGGGGGGAAGAGGAATATTGGTGGGAAAGGCAGAAGGAAAGAGACCACTGGGAAGACCAAGGCGTAGGAGGGTGAACAATATTAAAATGTATCTTAGAGGGATAGAATGGGGTGGTATGGATTGAATTAAATTGATCTGGCTAAGGATAGGGACCAGTGGAGGGCTCTTAAATGAACGTTCTAGTTCCATAGAATGCTGGGAAATTCGTAAGTATCTGCAGAATGGGCGGCTCCTCAAGAAAGAGTCAGCCACATGGGTAAGTAAGTCACAATACGAGTATTAATGCACTCAACGTTTAGGCTTTTGAACATTCTGTAGTTTACTACTGTTTATATGTACAGTGTGACAAGCATGGTTCACACTGCTATGCGGCTGAGAGGAAATTGTAAGAGAGCGAAAAGGGAGGATTGTAGCTGTTAGGGAAAGATGCATTTGTGGCTAATTAGCTCGCGGTTTTGCACGCTGGCCGAACATGCTTTAAGATACATCGAAATATTTTTCAATTATGTTTAAGAATCAAATCGGATACGATGCCTCGGATTCTGGGCGATGCATTAAAAATATTTAGGCTTAGGAATAATATTGGACATTTCCGCATGTAGTGATAGTCCTCGTATATATATACTACTTACATGCAGTATGCATACCGAAAGTTTCATAATACTGTAGCTTGTGGAGCCGTTACTATGCAACGGATGTGAGATAAGTAAATAAACCAGAACTGTTTTTAGACAACGGATCGGTAAACACGTTCCCGCAGCAACCGATACCCATGCAACAATACAGATACCGTTGGAAACGATCTTTTCTACCCGGTCCATGCAAAGGGGTTATAAGGAAAACAACTGGGGCTACCTAGTCAGGTTATGCCCGTGTGGAGGCGGGGTCGAATACCTCTACCTTGACCCTGCGAGTCGTAAGAGGCGACGAAGAGGGAAGTCTCGAATCTGAGACAATAAAATATGATCCTTGTGCCTAACTAAACTCTGCGCCAGTAAGACTTATGCGAGAATGGATGTATGGATCCACGTATTCTTGACCTCTGCACTAATTGCAGGTAATTGGTCAGCTTCGCGCCCCGGCCGCTTTACCTCCGGTACCCATTGAACAGGAGGCTGGGTGGATCCTAGAGTCAGTCTGCACGAGGTGGAGAAGTGAAAATTCTTACCCCCACCGGGACTCGAATCCCGACCCCTTGGTCATCCAGTCCGTAGCTAGTCACTATACCGACTGCTCTAACCCGGCTGTGTAGATTAGTGATAGCATCAAGAAATAGCTGAGATGATTTCGTGAAACTCAGGACGAAATTTGAACCGCCCTCATAAAACTGCCTCCCCCTCCAGGACTTTGCATAGGAGCAAATAATGCCAACATGAAGTATAAGCAATAGTGATATAAAGGATAATGTGAAAGAAATAAAGTAAACTATCCCTGTAACATGAAGAAAGCAGTCTTCTGGGATTTGGCACCGTGTAACAGGCCGTGGAGGCACGTAGGGTCGTGAGACATCGAGGCTCCCACATTTTTCTAGACAGATGTCTTTTACCCTCAGGAAGATTCCTGGTGCTCATTTCTGTTAGAGGCTGAGTCAACCGCAGGGCCATAGTGCGGCTGGAAGGATTAGGTCAATACGATATGTTATTATAAGAATATTATTAAAGGTGTGAATAAGAAATTATCTGTACCCTTGCCAGTTGACTTGACGTTCCTTCTTCAGCTTCAAGCAGTACTCGCTCTCTCTTATGATCCCTGCGTTCAAGAACATCCAAACTGCGTGTGAGCCCCAACCGTACATTCTCACCAGTTTCTTCCCTCGTTTGTCGTACATATTCCTGAAGCGGTTCTTCCTGTGGAAATTCTTCGACTGGCTGTAGCAGTGGTTCGCCCTCACCTGCCGCTTGTCCCTGTTTTTGCGAACGATGATGTTTGGTGAACGCCATCGACAGAAGTGTCAACGTCCTACTGATCGGTGTAGAGAGCCGTGCTATCATATTGGACCGCATGCCAACTGTGAAGACCAATACATTTCCATACGTACATAAATACTCATGGAGATGAGCCCTTCTTGAGGGGCTGCCAATTTGCAGCTACTCAAGAATTTCACAGCATTTAATGGAACCCGAAGGTTCATTACCATGTTCAATAGAGCCCTCCACTGGTCCCTATTCTAAGCCAGATCAATCCATCCCATTCCATCCTATCTAAGATCCATTTTAATATTGCCCACCCACCTACTCCTTGGTCTTCCCAGTGATCTCTTTCCCTCAGACTTTCCCACCAATATCCTGTGTTCATTCCTCGTCTAGCCTATTCGTGCTACATGCCCCGCCAATCTCATCCTTCTTGACTTGATAATTCTTATTATACTTGTAGAAGAGTACAAGTTATGAAGTTCTTCGTTATGCATTTTTCTCCAACCTCCTGTCACTTCCTCTCTCTTCGGTCCAAAGATTCTCAACACCCTCAGTCTATGTTCCTCCTTTAATGTCAGAGATCAAGTTTCACACCCATACAGAACCACAGGCAAGATTATAGTTTTGTATATTCTAATTTTTAGTTTTTGGACAACAGACGAGAAGACAAAAGGTTCTGGACTGAATGGTAGCAAGCATTACCCGAGTTCAATCGCCTCTTAATTTCCTCCTGAATCAGGTTTTGATCTGTTATCGTTGTTCTCAAATATCTGAACTGTGCACATTTTCAAAACATCTGTTTTCTATCCTTATGTCATGATCTCGCCCTGCATTAATGTGACAAGACAGCAACATATACTTAGTTTTCTCAGTGTTTACTTCTAGACCAACCTCTTTACTTGCGTCAGTTAAAGTTTGTGTGTTTTTCTTTATGGTATCTACATTATCATCCAGTAGATTCACATCATCGGCATAGACCAACAGCTGATGTGTCCCATATAATTTCAGTCCCACCTGGTTTCCCTGGACTTTCCTAATGGCATGTTCTAAAGAAAAGTTGCAAAGGAGTGGAGATAAAGCATCTCCATGTTTTAGATCATTCTGGATGGGCAATTTATGAACCAAATGCTTACGTATACCGACTTTACTATACGTTTCGTTTAAACATATTATAACCAGCCTAACTTGGTACGCGGGTTCAAACCCGGCGGAAGTCGTCGAATTTTTAAGGGCGGAAAATTCAGGGAACAAGTCCTCCGGGAAGGACTTTAAGTCGTGTGTCCCGTGTCGTAGCTTTACGGCACGTAAAAGAACCTCATATCTCCAAAGGAGGTCACTGAGCCAAATTCAAGGACGTTTCCCACCCAACAAGTAGTCTCTAACACCTCTGATAGATTGGGGAAGCACTATAGATACCGCCAAGCTAATGGAGGCCGAACTCGCTGACTCGGTCGGGACTGATGGTACGCACCAATATCGGTGGGATATAGCGACTGGTAGAATATCATAGAGGGAAGCACAATTGACCAATACTGGTCGAAGTGCATGGGGAAACCCACCCTCTCCATTAACTAACTAACTAACTAACCAGCCTAACTAGTTTCATGGGTATATTTTACTCTATCAGAATATTGTACAATAATTCCCTCTTTACTGAATCATAGTCTGAATATGAGTAGCTGATGTACTGTCCCATTGTACTCCCTTTTTTATCCTCGATATCTGACAGATGTAGAAGATATTATCAGTAGTTGATCTGTTACGTCGCAACCCCTACTGATAATCCCCAATTATTTCTTCTATATATGGACTTAACCGTGAGAGAAGAATATTGGATAAAAGTTTGTATGAAATGGATAGCTGTGATAACCGCCAATAATTACAACAGTCAATTTTATCACCCTTCTTGTGAACTGGTACAATAATAGACTCCTTCCACTGATCATGCAATTTTTCCTTATGCCAAGTAAAAGTAATTACCTTATGGATCTTAGAACGTAATATTTCACCTCCTGCTTGAATAAGTTCTTCTGGAATCCGATCACCACCACGCGATTTATGCCATTTCAACTTAGCAAAACCATTTTCAACCTCAAACGGACTAGGAACAGCCACTAACGGCTCAGCTGTATGGATTTCTGTCTGCTTAACATCACTGACCCTATGTACATTCAATAACTGAGAGAAGTAGTTCCTCCACCTATTCAAAATGTTGTTGGAATCTGCAAGCAGATCACCATTCTCATCCTTCACTAAGTTACTGCTAGGCTGGTAACCCCTCTTAGAGTCATTTATTCCTCTATTTTTCCCCCCTTGGCACTGCAGCCCCAGTGGGCCTAGGCCTACCTCCATGAACTTCTCCGTTCACTTCGGGTTTTCTAGATCTTACACTTTCGGTAGGACTCCTTGGGCAGGTGATCAGCTCATCGCAAGGCCTCTACCTGTAGACAAACACAGAAAACCGCACTCACAATCTAAACATCTGTGCCCTGAGAGGGATTCGAACCCACGATCCCAGTTTCCAAGCGAGCAAAGACAGTACAAGCCTTAGGCCGCTCGGCTACCTGGACAGGCTTTATTCCTCTATACAGGTCTAATGTTCTTGTTCTTACTGTTCGTTGCAAGCTCATAAATTCTGTCTTTGAGATATTTCCTCTTTTTGTTCCTGAAATGCCTGCTGATTTCACGTCTTAAGTTGTTCAGATTATCCCCATTTATCTCGATTGATTTATTTGGTCTAATAATTTTGATCATCCTTCATCGAACCGTGGCTTATGCTTCTTAAGTTCATAATAACCTAGACTCTCCTTGTCAGAAATGTTTATATTCTCTGTAATAGTTTCCCAGGCTTTATTAACATCCACCTCAATGTCCAAGTTTTCCAAGGCCGCGAAACTATTTGAGATTTCAACACGATACTGCTCTTTACCCTCTACCTCATTTAATTTCTTGAGATTGCACCTCTCCGTATGAACTCTGTGCGTTGATTGTTTGCTCACTGCCAGTCTTTCCCTAACCTTTGCCACCACAAGATAGTGGTCAGTGCCAGCTCTGACGGAATATCGTGCCGCAGGAGCAAGTAATAATCTGTTCTTATCTGCGTTAACTTCATTCTTCAGATTCTGCAATAAGTAGTAAATACTCTCCTTGGGCTTTCATAAAAACAATAGAGAACAACAAAAACTGTGCCTTATGACACTCTTTGACTAACGAGTTCACGTTTCTCCGTATTTTACCATTGTTGTTGTTTTTGGTCGAGAGTCTTTGCGTCTTGTGGGTGCACACAAGAGGCCTAATAGAAAAATAAAGAGCTTTTTTTTTTATTTCTGTGAACACTTAAACGGGATATTGGAAAGAGGCTTGTTTCGTAAATATTACTGAGAAAAGTGAATCTTTATTGTGCTGTGTTGTAATAGTTCATATCCCAGACGAAAACGAAACTGAGATATTTTGAACGAGACTGGTCAAGGAAAGAAGTCACAATGTGCGCAATTAACATAAGATAGATCCATCGACTTGTATTTGTGATACATTTTCAATGAGAACGGATAATGGGCAAACACCCTTGATAATTATGTAAACTTTTTTTTTCTTTTGCTCTATTTTAATCATTTTGAACAATTTACAGCATTGCTTTCGACAGGAAACAAATGTCCTGATATACAGAGTGTCCCAGGGGGGAAAGGTTCATATTCTGGGAGGTCATAGTATCGGCCATTCTAAGCAAAATATTGTCTATGTACATGTGTTCTATTCCGAACGGTACTCTGTACAGACGAGCAACACGCCATGTCATCACACGAGTTGCGAAGTTCATTAATGTTGACGGTGGAATTTTAGAAAAGATCTGTTCTACTAAGTAAACCGTACCAACTTTGCCACTTCAACAATAAATACCGGTATTGGAAACAGTAGGTAATATCTGTTTGTTATCAAGAATATTGGACTGTACAGTGAAATGGCTCTATATCTGAATCCGTTCGCGAATAGGACACATGTTGACGGTGTTGTTACCAACTTTGTCACTTGAACAATGAATACCGGTCTTAGAAACAGTACGTAATATATCTTTCTTATCAACAATTTTGGAACTGAAACCGTTCGGAATAGGACACATGTAAATATACTTTTTTTTTTCTTTTGCTTAGAATGACCGATACTATGGCCTCATAGAATATTGATCTTTCCTCCTGGGACATCTGTATAATGTGTTCTGTCTTCTGGGAAACAACGCCGTGTAGTCTGTTGAAAGTCAACCGACGTTTTGGTGGAACAATTCGACTTCATCTTTAGGGTCGAAGAATAAGACAAACAGGAAACCAGCGCAAGCTGGTAGCTACTAACATATTGACCCGTCCACCGACAGTAGAACCCCAATTGGACACACCCTGGGGCCTTTGCTACCAGCCTCGTTCTCAGAACTTAATTCCCATGCTAAAGTTAGTCTTCATTTTTTTCGCTAAAATGTAAACAAAATAGGTAAAACTATCCCTGTAACAGGCCCTGGAGGGCCATAGGGTTGTGAGGCGTCGAGGCTTCCGCATTTGGTAGGCATTCGGCTCACAGCGGTGAGGTTATCAGCCTCACGCGCCGGCCGCCCTTCACTCCACAAGGATTCTTGGCACTTATTATTGTTAGGGCCATGGTGCTGCTGAAAGGGTTAGGTCACTATAAGAATCCAGTGACCTCATCGGCAACCGCACCCGCGGCTTGTACAATAGTGTCTCAACCAATTGCGCTACCTCGTTCCTCCCTCTATTCGGTATAATAATGATAATAATAACCTGCGGATGGTACTGTCGGCGACGAACCTTAGCCTCTGCTTTACAGATTCTTAATCATATAGACAGTCTGTAGGGCTCCTTGCGCGGGGCTGGGGCAACACAGACATAGAATAAACGAAGACAGACATCCACGCCTCGAGTGGTTTTCGAACCCACGACCCCAGTGTTTAAGCTGGCGAAGACAGTTCTTGTCTGCGGCCACTGTGATCGGCTCATCGTTTCGGTACTGCAAATAAATATTCGGTATTGCAGTTTCAGTTGATTTGCTTATCAGAATGGTTTTCCTTTGCCCTGCAGACTTCACAAAGTTAGCAAAGGTCGGAGCGTTTGTGCACCATGAAGCTCCTTCCTTGTTACGTAATCGCCTAACTTGATGACTTATTTTGTATCTCTTACTGACAATAATAAGGTATATGTTTGCTGTTTAGGATCCCGATTAATGAAACTGTACGTTAGGAACTCTGTTCATATAATACTCTTTGATAATAGAAGTAAAATGTTACATTTGGATCGTTTGAACATGTCTCTTCCGATGTATTAACGACAACGGGTTCAGGTTTAGAATCCGAGATGGCATACACACAGCCACATACCAAACAATATGGAATGCACAGAATTACTGGATTTTTTTTTTTTTTGGACTTTGTTCATCTTCCGGTATTCTAGAAACTAGAAAACACGACGTTTCTATTTGCGTTCTCAGCTGAGGAGGGAAGACACTCACCTGAAGACCGAAACAAATCCAGTTTCTGAAACATGTTTTCTTAGTTTCTAGAATACCGGAAGATGGACGAAGTCCAAAACTCATTAATTCTGAGTGTTATGCACAATCATCAGAGCCGTTTAGAACTAATATGAAAGGCAGATTGTACCTGCGCTGACTGGTGATTCCGTTATGCTGTCACCTGTCCCATGCTTGAGCTCCGTCAGACTGCCAGTCCGTAGCGTTTGTAGAACGCTAAAGACATACACCACTAGTTCTGTTCTAACGGAAGTGACATCACGGTCGCTTCCAGAATCGAAGATGAGAGCGATGAGATTTGTAAGGATTTACTACATTATCAGATTCTGTACAAGTACAGTATTGATTATAAAACATTCATTATATGTAATCGATTTTAATACAATTATTGGTTTTGAGAGAAGACTTCCTTTAAATTTTACTTCCTTCATTTCAGATCAAAATATCTAACCTTCTTGCACACCTCTCCTTATATAGTATTTTTTTTATATTTCTTCTTTTCTGTTGATACCGTATCGTACTTTAACTTTTTTTGGCTTTCGTTTTCAAAATTCGTATTCATCCAGTCTTGGAGGCTCCCTATATGAAGGAACAGACATCTCAGGGTTTCTCCCTTTAGAGGACATCACAATGTAATCCTGACAGCGGTGAGAGGACCGAAGGGCGACAGTGATGGACATTCTGTCTAAGAACAGCAAGGAAGAATGCCCAAAGTCAGTTACAGAGCTCTTAAGACTGGAGGAAAAAAGATTTCTGCAAAGCGTCTGTTACTTCATAAACAGCATTCCTATATTTGTATAAAACAGATATGTAAGAAAAGTAAAAGAAGTAATTGTACTGATTATTAATAGCATACTCTCAGACTTGTTCTCGGCATTGATGCACGTGGAGCGTCTTCAGTGTCCTCCCTGCCGTCACGAAATACAGCGTACCATCGAAAAATGTTCGAGCGACTCAAACAATTACTACCGTACACACTTTTCATCATTTCGTACGATTCTGCGGGTCTTTTGCCTAACTTCAAACAAAATTTAATGTTGACTCTCTGTTCAACCGCCATTTTTCGACGAGCGTCAGAACAGTACTGTTACATTCAAGGTCAGAACACATGATGCAACGATGCTTGCGCTTTGAAGTTATAGACAGCCACAGTTGAATCTTCAAGAATGTTAACGCCACAACTCGCCAACAGATGGCATTGCAGGGCAAAAAAAAATTATGTTCTAAAGGATCATGGGCACACGATGTACGAGGGGGTAACCAAAAGAAACCGAACTTATTTTTTTAACTTATTTATTCAAATTTTAAGCACAAACCTTCAATCCCCTTCAAAGTACTCTTCACTTACACTAATACACTTGTCTAGTCTTTTATTCCATTTTACAAAACATTGTCTAAATTCATCTTTTGAGATGCTTGACAGCGCCTCCGTCGTTTTTTCCTTCACCTCAGAAACATCAGCAAAACGCTTTCCTTTCATGCCTCTTCATTCGAGGAAACAAAGAAAAAGTCGCACGGGGCAAGTTCGGGTGAGTATGGAGGGTGAGGAACAGGGTTCATACCATTTTTGGTCAAGAATTGTCGTACAGACAGGGCTGTGTGAGCAGGGGCATTGTCATGAGGGAAG